GACTGGTTATGTTGGACTTAAGAACCAAGGAGCAACTTGTTACATGAATTCTCTCCTACAAACCTTATACCACATACCGTACTTCAGAAAGGTTTCAATGCTGCTTATGACCAACTTTGTAGTCTTGTTATGTTTGTCCCGGTGGCCTATTTGACAGAATATACCTCATCTTTGTCCCATATTTTTCAGGCTGTGTATCACATGCCAACAACTGAAAATGACGTTCCCACGGGAAGCATTCCTTTGGCTTTGCAGAGTCTGTTCTATAAACTTCAATATAATGACACCAGTGTTGCGACAAAGGAGCTGACAAAATCTTTTGGATGGGATACATATGATTCATTCATGCAACATGATGTTCAAGAACTCAATAGAGTCCTATGTGAGAAGCTTGAAGATAAAATGAAGGTAGTTGAGCTTCAGCTGCATTCTTCCTGCCTGCCTTCTTGCTATGAATTTTGTTTATTTTGACAATTTTCTTTTTGTCCAGGGAACTGTGGTAGAGGGGACAATACAACAGTTATTTGAGGGTCATCATATGAATTACATTGAATGCATCAATGTGGACTACAAATCTACAAGAAAGGAATCATTTTATGGTATTATTTTAAGCAAAATTATATTTATCTGAGATTTTAGTGGACATTTTTAATGTTCGTATCTATCTAATGTATTATTACATGGTAGATCTCCAGCTCGATGTCAAAGGCTGTAGAGATGTTTATGCCTCTTTTGACAAGTATGTTGAAGTTGAACGCCTTGAGGGTGATAATAAGTACCATGCTGAAGAACATGGTTTGCAGGTCAGTCATTGTTCCTCAAAAATTATATTAATATATTTTGTTAGTTCTAATGAGTGTGTTCACATTTTTTGGGTATAAATTATAGTTTCTTTTAGATGCATGAATTACACCAAACAGCTTTAAGAAGAGGCAAGCCTAATTGATTCATTTAATATTATGTTCTATAAGCACACTGCTTTCCTTTTTGGCTTGAAACATTGAATAGGTGGTTGTTGTCTTTTAATGTTGTCACAGTAGTGGCTGATGTAGGTTGCAAAGTTACTAAGAAGTATAGTGTCAATGGGGAAAGTTAACAAGATACTTGAAATTACAGCCTAAGCTGTCTTAGGAGACTGATAAACATAGAACAGGTGTCTAAGAGAAAAGATGTTCTGTTTGGCCAAAGAGAAGCATATGAATTGTAGATAAATACACATACTGGTGGACAAGGACACAAATATATATAGATATATACATATATATTTAGGAATGTGATGGTTAAAAGAAACTTGAATGATTGGGAGATTGATGAATTTCAACAGCAAATACTCACTGTATCTCAAGCAAAAATTGGTAACCAGGAGGACTCTTTATACAGTGGGCGCTGGATAAAAATGATATGTTTTCTGTGAAATCTTTCTATCAGCAACTTGTGGGGGGTACGGAGAATTCTGTTACTGTTTTTCCTTTTAGACAAGTTTGGAAGACAAAAGCTCCTCCAAGAATTGGTTTTTTTCGCATGGGAAGCTTGTAGAGAAAATATATTGACCATAGATACGCTATGAGGAGGGGAAGATGCATGGTTAACCGGTGTTATATGTGAAAAATTAATGCAGAATCATGCAATGACTTGCTGGTGTGGTGTCCGTTGGTCTACAGTTTATGGACAATGATTTATGGTCTTTTGGGGATAAAATGGGCTATAGCAGGATCTGTGAAGAATGAATTGTGGGCATGGGCAGGGCTGTGTAGAAAGAAAAAAAACTTAATGCTTATTCGGATCTCAGTTATGTGGGTTGTGTGGAAAGAGAGAAATTCTAGAGCATTTGATGGGATTGAGAAGGATTTCAACATTATTAAGGATAGATGGAGTTATATTTCTTGTTTTTTGTTTTTGGGACATGATATTAAGGACTTAGATGATTTTGCGATGGTATTAGATCAATTGATTGAGATGTAAATGTTTTGTAAATGGGCGGTATACCCTTGGTACCGATGATGTATACTAAACTTTTATTTTTAAAAAAGATATATAAATATATATTTATCTCAATAGCCATTTTCATTTTGTTCCTTTTTCCAGATTTATTTGGATATGTGGAGAATTTAGGAACTGTGTGTAAATAACTTAAATGTTTATGTGAAGTGAACTAAGACATATTTAAATAGTCATAGTTCTATATAATATAGAATCTGGCATAGGCGGTGGGAGTTGAGCCAGCATCAATAATTTGGAAGGCTAAGGGTTATTGTTGTGTTATTAACCATGTGCCAGGATTCAAAGAAGGGCGTTCAATTTGTTCTTAGTAATAAACACCTTCTGAGATGATGTTGATTTTTGCATTTTCTTTTGGAAGGACATAATGTAATTTTTTAGCCTTTTCAGATATTATTCTTAGAAACATAATGGATATATTTATGTCAGGATGCAAAGAAGGGCGTATTGTTTATTGACTTCCCACCTGTACTTCAACTTCAGCTAAAGCGGTTTGAATACGATTTTATGCGGGACACTATGGTGAAGGTAAATATTTGTAACTGGTTCATAGATTTAATGGTTTGCATGATCAAGTATTGAAATTGGCGTACTATTACTATTTGGTCATCATCTGCTGTTTATAGTTAAATTTGCATGGACAAACTTATTTAACTGCTATGTTGATATGCAAGTGAAATTGATGATTCAGGAAGTCTAGGGGCCTTTTTTTTAAAAATAAAAGTCTAGGGGCATAATTGTTAGTTGGGTGAGACCGTTCTTATTAGTTTTATAGTTTTGCAATCTCTGCTTCCTTCTCCTGGGGTTTTCCTGTCCTATATTTACCTTATGATTCGGGCTTTTGTTTCTGGTAGATCTTTTTTTTATCCCTAAGCAAGTCTGATGTGTGTTTCATTAACTTGGTTTGCATTTATTTTTGTATTTCCTAAATGGTTGTATTGTGTGGTAATTATTCAACTGTTTAGAATTGTTGTCTATTGGATTTAATATTTGATGATATCAAGTTATTATCTTCCTTTTGCAGATAAATGATCGTTACGAATTCCCTCTTCAACTTGATCTTGATAGAGATGATGGAAAGTACTTATCACCTGAAGCAGATAGGAGCGTTCGCAATCTTTACACACTTCACAGGTATCTTTCAATCGTTATATATGTTTTGGTGAATATGTTCCATTACTCTCTTATACCATAAGACTGAACAAGGAACTTTTGCGTCACAGTGTGGTTTGATTGAGATTTCCCTGACTTCGGTATAAGAGATAGTCCGTTTCTGATCTGCAGTCCTATAATAAGTGTTAATATTTGTAAGTTCTCTAGTTAGTAGATGTATAGCATGCATGACTGAGTAGCAAGACGAGGGGATAAATTCTCTACAGTTGACCACGGTGGTCAGCATTAGATTTATCAGGGAAAGCATTGGAAATTCTTCTTTTGATGCTTTCACATGTAAGTGTGGGGTTAATAATTCTGTTACCAGTGGGCGAGAGAAAGAGAAAGGATCCGTTATCAAAGTTGTTATCATGAACCGTAGTATTTATGTGCTATGATTGTAGTTTGCTTGTTTGTGGCACATACTTTGTTTGTTGTGTTTTCTCATGTTTTGTTTTTCTACTACAGTGTCTTGGTTCATAGTGGAGGAGTGCACGGTGGACATTACTATGCTTTTATAAGGCCGACGCTCTCTGATCAGTGGTATGTACTGTTTTCTAATAAGCTACAAAAATATTTTGTCTATTTTCTCATTCTTGAGCATGTGCTTTACTCCTGGAAGTTGCATTTGACCCACAGCTAGTTTTCTTCAAACAACATGCATTCTTATTTTCCTCTTTTGGCAGCTTCCATGTCTATTGTTCATATAATAGAAAGGATACAATCATATTATGTTGGTGATAAGTGCTATTTTTTCCCTTAGGTATAAATTTGACGATGAACGGGTAACAAAAGAAGATATGAAGAGGGCATTGGAAGAGCAGTATGGTGGTGAGGAAGAGGTAGGTGTTTTCAGGATTGAAATTCTCTGTCCGCACGCATGTATACTGGACATTTTTGTAAACTGACCTGGTCTATTCTTTTATCTCATGTCAAGCAGTTGCCGCAGACAAATCCTGGCTTCAATAATACTCCATTTAAATTCACTAAATACTCAAATGCTTACATGCTTGTATATATTCGGGAATGTGACAAGGACAAAATAATTTGTAATGTTGATGAAAAAGACATTGCTGAGCACCTGAGGGTAAATGCTTGGTTCCATGGTCTTTCTTAGTATATGTGTGTGGGATCTAGGCTGAAGAATCCAATCTCTTGTTACAGATAAGGTTAAAGAAAGAACAGGAGGAGAAGGAAGACAAGAGAAGATACAAAGCGCAAGCACACCTCTTTACGATAATAAAGGTTTTGGCTTCTTTACATGATTTGTTGTTCATACTTCCTTATTCTGTAAAGGTTATAGCATTGACAAGGTCAAGCAGAAGTCATAACTAAGCAATTCATGGATGCATCTAGGTTGCAAGAGATGAAGACCTTGCTGAGCAGATTGGAAGGGACATATATTTTGACCTTGTTGATCATGAAAAAGTCCGTAGTTTTCGTATACAAAAGCAGACGCCATTTCAGCATTTTAAGGTACTGGTTATCCTTTCAGTTTGATTAGAGTGAGTCCTGTGCTGGATTTTTGTTCTTCAAAATTTAGTATGTTTAGCATTTTTTTGTCTGCCATCTTATTTTGGATTTGTTTCTTTAACGATTATTGTAAATAAAAAGATTTTTCTTAAAAAAAAGCATGGAAGTGTTGCATACAAGGGGTAGAAGGGTCTTTTCTGTACTGGGGATATCTCGATAAGTTCCTTTGCTTCAGAAATGAAAAGAAAAGTTTCATCGTTTTCTTTTTTTTTTCTCGGGGGGCAGGGGTGTTGGGATGGTTTTGGTTGGATGAAGAGCTTTGTTTAGTGTGCTTCCTAGATAAATTTGAATTTGAATACATTGTGGGTCTCCATGCTTAAAGGCTGAACATAATGAAGTTTCTCAGAGGAAAATTTTATGCAGGATTCAAAATGGTTTAATAAGAATGATTATGAGCGAAAGTTTATTTTGAAAAAAGAATGATTATAAGAGAGTATTTGAAAAATTTCCTTTTCTAAGTGTTAATCAGCTTGAGATGGCGTTGAGCTCTCTAGCTGATATATTCTAGTGTTTTGGTGCTGAGAACATGTATTAGGCCTGAACTGGATCATGCAGTTTCAACGATTTACTGTAATATCCTGCATTGAGAATATGGCTTTGAAGATAAATATTTTTAGTGTATGTTCCTTTGGTAAATTATCATTTAGTTTCTTAGATCTCTTACTGTCTATAAAGAAGGACTTCAAATTTTGTAAATATTTTGTGTATGGGTTGCACCTTATTGGTGCCGGTTTTTAATAATATTCTTTACACTTTTTATTTCAAAAAAAAAAAGAGCTCCAAATTTTGTCACTTGATTTTGTTTTGTTTGTGGCCTTTAAAGAAAATCATGTTCTCTTCATTGATAGTCCACGCTGGGGAAGTTCACAAGGGAGTATTATGCTACCAAGCGAAATGAGATTTGATTAATTTCAAAAGGACTAATAATTTTTCTAGAGGAAGTTTTTGTTATTATTAAGTTTTTTCATTACAGTTCTTTCAATTTCTTTGTTATTAATGTCAATTTTCTTTAATTTT